AGCATAAAAATAAGAGAGATTAGGAGAAAGATAAGATTGGAAACACAATCTAACATTTAGACCCCAAAAAAGAAAAAAAGATTGGAACACAAACCTCGAGAGTGTTGGCAGAGAAGTAGAGGATCTGAACATTGGAGATTCCCATTATAAAATCTGTCGCATTACCGAAACTATAGTCTGCCTCGCTACCTACAACGAATTCGTTGTATATATCATCAAATGTATTCTGAAGATCGATTTTGGCTTCGACAAGCGATGAAAAATCACTTTTGGATACTCGTTCGCAATGACCAAGTAAACAAGATTCGAAGTATCAAACGACACACTAGTTGCAGTATCCTCTTGCTGACACAAACAGCAATCAAACCTTAGTCTCTTGAGAGTTGTGACAGAAAAAGAGCAAGAGTTCCATGAACACGACCACATACGATCCAAAGCTAGTTCCTCAAGCGCGTGGCAACCAGAAAGAAACTTGCTTAACCCAATATCGCCCTCGCTTAACATAACTGACTTGAGACAGAGAGTCTTAAGCTTTGGTAAACGAACATCTTCCACATAAATGCCAGGGCTATATATTGTCAGCCTAACGAGTGTCTCGCTCAAGAAGTTCCTCGAAGGAAGCGAATACATCATTTTCGAATTCATGACTAGATGAAGATCCGATACACGACGCGCCAACACATTGTGTATCCAACGAACGACCCAATCTTGATTAACTGGATCATTATTACCTACAATCTTTAGAACGAACTTGTCTAAAGGAGAGTTGCCTTGCAAGTCAAGGATCCTATTCACGAAATCTGGAAAACTTGTAGTAAACTTCTTCCTTTTCTCAGGATGAGGATAGATCGAGTCGTGGAATTCGAGGTTAGGAACAAAAGCAAGTAGATAACGCCATCTTCTTGAGAGAACTGATGCTAAAGCAGCTTCTTTTGTCGTAAGAGACGACAAAATGTGGCAAAGAAGTGGGTCTGGCAATTCGTTGATCAAATCTTTAGAACAAGAATCCATACTTGCAACCTGAGTAAAGAGGATCAAGTAAGAAATTCGAACAAAAGAAATTTGCAGATCTTCAAATCGATCTCCGAAAGAAAACCCTAAGAATCATATATAGATACACGTACGTACCAAAGAGAAGCAAAGTTTGATCGAGAAAAAGTGAAAATCAAAGACTACTTACGAGAATCAGAAGAAGGATTAATGGAAATTTGCTTATGCTCTAAAACCGAATCCCGCAAAAATAGCTAACTAGCTATTGAGAATTTTTTGACATTTATAGATTCGAAATTGAAATTTAGGGTTTTTTCAACGTGTCAAATTTTTTGATTTTGGGGATATTCTGATTTGCCAATTTAATGTGGCTCTAATAAGTTGAATTTTTTTTTACAAAATTTGTTTTTTAAAGGAAAACAAATCTTTCTAGTAAAAGTTCGTGCCTTTTTTTTGGTCGATAAATTTATTATTTTGAGAATAATATCTTTAGGTCAATAAATACATGGAAAAATTTGAAGAAAACCAATCTGAAATATTGAATTTACCCTCAACCGAATGAAACTTAAATTAATTCTAAATTATCAAACACAGGGTAATTATGGTAAGGAAAACGTCTAGCAATTTTTTTCCTGAATTAACTTCTATGACAAGTTAGGTCTCGTGTGTTTACATTTCTTTTCTTTTTTACTCAGCC